TCACTGAATGCCGCATAGATCTGCGGCTCAACTGATTTAAAAACACAGATAGGATAGCTACTTATGTATTAGGATATATTTAATATTAAGATAATTAAATGGTGGCGAAGGTGTGGCTATTGGGGGAGGCTGGAGGCCACGAATTAAAAAAAAAAAAGTAGTAGTAGTAGTAGTAGTAGTAATAGTAGTAGTAGTAGTAGTATTACAGTGTTATTATTATCATTGTTATCATTATTATTTTAGTATTTTATTTTTAAATTTTCATTTTTTATTTTAAATTTTATTTACTATGCATTATTATTATTATTAATATTATTATTATTATTATTATTATTATTATTATTATTATTATTATTATTATTATTATTATTACAGTGTTATTATTAACAGTTATCATTATTATTTTAGTATTTTATTTTTAAAATTTCAACTTTTATTATAATTTTTATTTACTATGCATTATTATTATTACTATTATTATTATTATTATTATTATTATTATTATTATTATTATTATTATTATTATTATTATTATTATTATTATTATTATTATTATTATTATTATTATTATTATTATTATTATTATTATTATTATTATTATTATTATTATTATTATTATTATTATTATTATTATTATTATTATTATTATTATTATTATTATTATTATTATTATTATTATTATTATTATTATTATTATTATTATTACATTTTCGCCCCCCAGGCCCTGATGTGGGTAAGTGACCTATGCCCGGGTGGGCGAATCCCTGTAAAAAAAAGAAAAGCAAAAAGGCATCTCTGATGTCTTTCCAAACTGATGATAGGATTAGCTCTCTTTGACGAACGAATTCATCCGGCAGGGTGCAAAACCTGAGTCATCCAAAGTCTAAAAAATGGATTGAAGAGGGTGGAGGGGGAAGGTCATAAACATCAATGTCTCTCCCTCTCACTTCGTGACTGAGCGAAATATGGATTTTTGTCAGAGGTGTTCTTCATCGCTCAAACAAGGAGCCAAGTGATTGGAAAAATGATGATTCCTTTAAGGTACGGTCCCCTTTGCTAGTGCGTTCACAGATGCTCATCAGGTTTTGTGCAGTGTGGCGCCCTGTGTTTGTTTATAATCGACAGAAGAAACTCACAATAATAAACATACTATAGGATTAAAGTAATACAACATTGAAACAAATATCTCAATGAAATGATTTGTGGAATGCACTTGTGAATTCAGGGGACTGTACTTCTACAGCAGACCAAGTGCCTCAAGGTGACCAACGACTGCACAGACCGAGGAATTGCTCTTATCAAGTTATTTAATCCTACAATAACTCAAGATGAGAACCCAAAACAGTTCCCTCTCAAGCTTGTCAACCACCATGCAAAGTCCATTCAAAAGAAACGAAAGCAGAGTTGATGAAACGACTGTATGATGACTAAATTCTTGGACAATTCATGTTTTTTTTTATAAAATTTTAAAAACAATTATTTTGTACTAATACTAAATATTCACCATTTCTGATAAAATTTGGCTCAATTTATACATTCATCAAGTGGAACAAAAGAACATTGTATTTGATTATATCTAATGATAACAACTTATCCTGTTGTGCTGAGCCTTAGATGTAATGACAACAGCTTATCGTGTTGTGCTGAGCCTTATATGTAATGACAACAACTTGCCGTTTTACATGCTGACCCTTGTATCTAATATCAACAGCTAGCTGTGTCACGTATTGACCCTTATATCTAATGTCAACTAGCCGTATTATGTGCTGATTCTTAAAGTATATCTAATGTCAACTAGCCGTAATATGTGCTGATTATTACAGTATATCTAATATCAACAACTAGCTGTGTCACGTACTGACCCTTATATCCAATGTAAACTAGCCGTGTTACGTGCTGACCCTTATATCATAATGTCAACAAGGTATAAATTATATCTTTAACCTCTTGAACGGCTTTAATCACTGTGTATCGAATAATCTGTCATATTGATTGTACAGATTATTATTCCATTAGATAGAGTTTTGTGAAATGAAAGTGACGATAACCAATTGTAACGAAGAGCTGCGTAGAATACTCCGTTGACAACAGCACCGGTACAACATTATAGAAAGTGACAACTTATCCACTGTGTATTGCCATCCTATGAGTTCTGTTTTTGTCTACTTTTTACGTTCAAGAGTACGTGGGTTTCTAATATTTATATTTTGAATTATTGCCAATGTCCTCTTTTTTATTATAAATTTGGAATGATTATTTAAATCGTGAAGATTAAGTAATATGGATTCAGGTATCGTTCTTGCGTAGATGCCAGAATACAGATATCAAATGCAACGAAAGTAAAAAAGAATGTTGATGTTGCCTGAACCATCGTTGTTAAAGCAGAGTCATATTATAGCAACAACAACCAGACTCCTCAGTATGTATGTTGACCCAGGCAAGGTCCAACTTACTATGTATTGTCGGGGGCAGATTGTCTCAGGTCGCGCACCATGATTAATTTAATGTTCTCTTCTTTTTCGGGGTGGGTGAATCATAACAAATCAACGAAGACGCAGGAAATAAACTCTGGATAAAAGAGTCATTTTAACATTCGTGTAAGAAAAGCCAATGGCTAGTAACCGACCAGTAAAAAAATACTAATAATCGACAATACCCTGGCATATGGCTTTAAGGTACGACGTTAGGCTGAGCGCTGAAATGGCGAGAGTGGAGGCTATACTGAGAATATGTGTTAACAGCACAGCGTTATTAAAAAAAAAGTTAAAGAAGGTTTGTGATTCCGACAATTGGTGATGGTCACATTTGAGCTAGCACGTAGACATTGTTGGCTTTTACAGTTCTTGAATAATAATGATAATAATAATGTAACTGTGCATATCGAACACTCTTTATCTCTACACTGAATTCATAAAACGAATCCAAACGAAGTGATAGTAGGAGAAAAATGAACAACATACAGTGTATAACATGACTCATATTTTTTTTTCTTCTTGAGTCTAAACAGAACACATGAGAAAGCTGTTGGCAAAGGGAAAGACTCAATGTCGTATCTTAAGTGGTAGAACACATGCAACCTTGCCACATCAACAAAAGGTTGCACAATCTTACATATAAACCTTTGAGAATCCTGTCCCAGGGTGATAGATAAGCTGTTTACTGTACACCCTTTAGGTTAATCAGTCACAGCCCTGGTTGATAACTGTTAACCAATCAATTTTATCTCTTAAGGTATTAACCATCTTCAACCCTCGTGTTACAAGGTCATGAGTATCTGGGAGTGTTGTGGCGAACCTCAAAGCTTTGTGCTTATTTCTCTGCAGAATTTAGGTGCAGTGATATATGTTATTCAAATATACGTTTCCCAAGTTTGTAGATTTGTGTGTGTGGGTGTGTATTCGTGGGAGTCTTCTGTTGATCTCGTAGTGTCATTCTTTAATAGCGTGTGTTAGTAAGGCGATTCACTGGTCACACACATGGATCTGAAAGAGACCACAACACCCACAACACACACACACACACACACATATATATATATGCAAGTAAATCACAGTAGGTGCGCGTGATCCAGGTATATGCTGATAACCACAAGGAAAAAGAAAACACGAAGTTCCCAAGCGCTTTCGTGTAATTCACATCTTCAGGGGTGAGTACAGACTACTGTAAGAACCCGAACATTGGTGTTCGACATTGTACTATTTAAACACTCAATATAGACTACTGTATTTTGTTTTCCTTATGTTTGGAGTAAATTATACATCTAGCTGTATCTTTCAATCTCCTTCCAGTGTTCTACTTGAATGGAAAGCTTTATGTAAGGCGGTGGGTGTGTCATCCCTTATGCACCAGTGGATCCTCATGTACCGGAAACGGACACATTGTAGAAAATCGTAAGTAAATTAAACCTTTGATTTTCGAGTTACAGTACCAATAAACATTTTGAATAGGCTCCGAGCAGATAATATTCAGTATATGTTGCCGAGTGTTGTTCTCATCATCGGACAGCGTATAGCAGTATGAAGGGGGATGGACCTTGGACCTAACCTAAACTATAGTTAGTTTATTTCCTAATACCACGTGTGAAATTTTCTAAGTCGTGTTTCCTTGTAGTGTCGTTGTCTTGGCCGTCGAAGTCACGTGATAAATAGCGTAGTGTTCGAAGGGCCTTGATTTTTGCTTACGTCATGTAATGTTAATTTTTAAGTGATGTATTTGATTTGATAAAGCTTACCTGATCTTCAATAACTAAGGTGTCACTTAAGCGTGTATTCTAGGTTATAAAATACACTGGTCATCAATGATTCAGAATTAAGAGTCACACTTCTCTTAGCGCAAATTTTAGCACCAGAAAATTTGAGTCATAGCTGGAATTTCTTAAGCAGTTATTCTTTACACTATAATCATTTCTTAACAGCTCACTACAGCAATAAACATTAATTTACTAATATTCCATACACAAATACACAAAAACACTCGTTACGCACCTAAATAATCATGTCAGGTAATTTGACGAATATTTTTGGTGTTTGTTAGAGTACCTGTCTCCAGGTTTCCTACAAATCTAGTATCTTGATGGCTCTCGTCTCGGTACATGATCTTATATCTCCCTGCAGAAAGAACGCTTCTAGAGACTCGTCTCTTTTTAAAAGGTAAATAAATCCACAAATTTCATCATCGCCAGTTACAACTTCAGTACTAGATAAAGGAAATGTTCTCTACTGTTCAATATCCTTTTATTTCCTTCCACAAAGACCATTAGTGTCTCGCTCGTAGAATCTTTTCACAGCGTCCTCATACATTCTTACGCACCTCATACAGTGACCCTGGCTGGGCCTACCTGCATCACATCACATAGTCCAGATGTCCAGGACGCTTTGTATACAGGTCACCACCAGGCACCACACACATCATCCTGACTTATTTACATGTATCTTATTTGATTTACAAAATCTCTGACCCTTGACCTTCTTGTGGAAAACTATAATATTCACACAGGATGCTTTGGACTCATTGTTGCTGCAATTTATTTTTTTACAAAGTACAGATTCATGTACATAGACACATCTTAACACACAATATTATTTTGGTATATTCTTTGGACATTTTCTACTTTACCCCACTGCAGCTTAGGACTATATAATATAAACATTACAGGATAGTTCAGGTACATGATTGAGGCGTTTATGACAAGATATATGATCACAATCAGTAAGGTTGTAGTAAATGCATAACAGATATATTAGGACCACCTAACACTCCCCCCCCCCCCTTGCATATTCTACCTGAAGTTGACAGAAGCTGTGTGAGGCATATCTTCAGGTGTCGAAATACATAAACCAGCCTGTCAAGGTATTCGTTAAAGGTTGTTAGATATTCACACCAATTATGATTAACTCGGCATTTATCCCTCAACTATGAATGATTGTACCAAAGGAAAAATAAAAATTAAGAATAGTGGCAACGTATTCAGACCATACAAAATATGAATAATGGCTGGTACAGGTGGGGCCTGGTGTCACTTGGCGACTCAGGCCAACTGGACTTCATGTACAGTAGCTAAAACAACTATCTGTGCAGGTGGGAGTCGATATGCTCTGAAATTTTACGCGTGACTAGTGACAACCCTCATATACCAAAATTTATCGTCCAAAATTCTCATATTGTTTCCAACAAAGTATGCACAGATAGTTGTTTTAGCTACTGTACGTACGTACACAGGATTATACTGGAGGCCGCATCCATCATCGAGGGTGTGAGCACTACGTTGAAAAGTTGCTGTAGTGGGCTATGGCACACACAAATCTTAGCGAGGTAACACGCTATACCAGCTAGCTAGGTCGCTAGCGGTAGGCCATACAAGTCACCAAACTGCAGCAGCTCCGCCACTCCATATATAAAAAGCTGAAGGATTGAACACGTCCTTAGTTTCGTACTAACTAAACTATTTACTTGTAACACCAGTTAAGTGTGCTACTTTCTTGCTAAACACACTATATACAAATAAGCAACGAATGTATATAACATGTATATTCATTCACACAGCCCTTGTTACGTCATGGCCCAGCCATGACTCCACTTCCCTACTTTTCATTGCTATACATATGTATAACTGTCTTCAGGTAGTAGTAGTTAACACAGGCAGTTTATGTTCACAATATAGACAATTCATTTGTTTGGCAGTGTGAGAAAGTTCCTTGTCTCGCATCACATTATCTACAACAAAACAACAAGTCATCCATCATAACAGCTTGCATGCAAGCTTCCAAGGTATTTCACTTGTTAAACACCAGTCAATATTGGTTGGTTCCAATGGGTGTCGCATATGAGAGGAGTCCTTACTCGGGCAGATGGGAATTCTTCCTGGTTAAATAAATCCTTGGTATGGGTGGGAACGTTTCTAATGCAGTAATGAGATGAGCCCTATATGGGTAGACGATGTCTAAGTGAGAAACGCCATAGAACAGTAGTAGTAGTTTCTCTCACTGATAGACGATCCTTTTTTATACGATATGTGCCAATCCAGGAGCCCGTAGGGTCTTCGTGTAGGTACCGACTTCTGTGGCGATAGGTTTCACCTAACACATAAAGCCCTCATGTACTGTAGGGAGATAAACTCTGAAGCGAGGGGATAATACCATATGTGTATAGCCTCACGTCGGCAGATAAGGCACTGGCATGAACGATTTCCGTCATCACACGGTAAGATAAGTTCTGAGGAGTGTGGCTTCTTAATCTTAAGTTGGTAAGTGCGTCGTACTGGCGGACAAGGGGATGGAAGCTACCGGTTCACTAGGAGGAATAGGATCTGTGTTCTCATTGGGAGGGTGGCTTGGATACGTGTTTTCATTAGCGCTGGAGCTCGGCGACGTTGTCCCAGAAGTAGGCCAGCTGGGTGAGGTCACACTTGGAGGAAGGGAAAAGAAAGGCACACACCTCCCAGTAGTAGGGCTGACGGCCTCAGAATAGGATGGCGGACTGACCTCACACTCCGTCTTAGTCCAAGTGAAACCTCGCATCATATTCTTGTCGTGGTAATGAACCTGAACTGGTTGGTAGTCGGTGGTGGGAGAAGATGCCACGTCTCCCATGGCGTCTTCCTGCAGCCCCGGATCATTGGCGTAGAGGAGGTAGTAGGGCGGGGGCTTGGCCGTCACCACCTCGTATGACGGTGGGCAGTCCCCCTGAGAGTCCTGTAGAAAAAAGAAATACATATTCATATCATACCCAAGATTTAAATTCATCTAGAAATTATATTCTGAAAGCATCTCATGTCCAATTTTCATGCGACGGGTCAAGAAAACGTCTGGTTACAGCATCTTACTGTAATTTTAATGCCATTTTGGTCGTTATCTCTACGTCGATGTTAAACTGAGAAGCAGTGTGAGCCACAGAAATATACCCTCTGTCAACACAGCACTGACTCATCAGACAGTAGCTAGATTATCTAATGCAATTCTTAACCTTAAGCGCATTTTTAAGATACAGTATTAGGAAAAAACGGAATTTCTGAAGAAGTCACCTTCAGTATTAGCTGATTGCCCAACAGTATTCAGGAGAAACATTTTCTAGTGATTTTACTGAATACAAAACTAAAAAATATGAACACAGAACACTTTCGTTTTAACATTATTTTGACAATGAGTTCATTCCCATTCAATTAGCGAGACCATTTATATAGGGCGGAGAAGTGTGACAGGTATAGAGTGCGTAGGAGTAAGGTATACAAAGAGCGCAGGAGTGAGAGGTGGTATACAGAGAGCAGTGAGGGAGGAGGTATACAGAGAGCAGTGAGGGAGACGGTATACAGAGAGCAGTGAGGGAGGAGGTATACAGAGAGCAGTGAGGGAGAGCGGTATACAGAGAGCAGTGAGGGAGGAGTGAGCAGTGAGGAGGCAGAGAGCAGTGAGGGAGGGAGAGGCAGTGAGGAGGCAGTGGGGAGAGGTATACAGAGAGCAGTGAGGGAGGAGGGCAGTGAGAGGAGAGGAGCAGTGAGGGAGGGTATACAGGAGGCAGTGAGGAGGAGAGCAGTGAGGGAGACACAGCAGAGGCAGTGAGGGAGGAGGTATACAGAGAGCAGTGAGGGAGGAGGTATACAGAGAGCAGTGAGGGAGACGGTATACAGAGAGCGCAGGAATGAGAGGAGGTATACAGGGAAAGCAGGAGCTTTTTTTTAGTTTAACAAATTTATTGACAAAGCTTGGAGTACAGTTTGCCCATTCTGAGTAATTCAGTCAGGTCTTGACACTTGAGTGTGGTGTCACTTCTTACTGCCACGCAGGACAGGAGCGAGAGAGGGAGTATACAGGGAAAGCGGAGTGAGAGAGGAGGTATACAGAGAACGCTGGGGAGCGAGACGTAGAAATAAACTAGTCTGCACAGTTTAATGTATCAGTTCGAGTCTCTCACCTGTAATTGTTCTTCGTTTGATTGTAAGTCGCTGATGATAGCACACTTGCGGAAGGAGAGCCCCAGCACCACCAGGGTGAGGTAAGTGCCGCCAAAGATGAGTGAACAGCCCACCGCCAGAGGGCCGTAGGAGTGCATCAGTGTGATCACGACGGCGATGGGGCCCAACCCCATCATCACCACCAACATCATCTCAAAATATTTGTTCATTTTTTGGTGTTGTAATATTTCCTTGCGATAGTTTATTGATTCACTTAGTTTGTTTAGTACAAGGAGACTATTCAGTGCTACTGTTAGTCTTGCTTCGATTTGTAACGTACTGACGGAGGGCTCTTCCGTCCGGTGGGTTTTGTGAGGGGTGGTGACGTCACCCCCGCGGTATTGCCAACCGCTGCGCAGTATTTCTTCGAACGGTGACCATTACTTCATTTATGGTTATCTCCACTGAATTCTGATTGTCACCGGGATTAAAAAGATATTCAGTCTCGTTCCAAAAAAATTATCAATATTTGATAAATGTGTTGTGTTTTGAATAAGAATATTATTTATAGCCTGGTATGAGCATCTGGTGATTACAAGACCTATCTCTTTCACCTCATTGAAGTCTTCACAGGGTTTAATAGTGATAGAATATTAGGTTTTATCCTTTCCAGTAGGACCTGTAACTAACACATGCCTATAAGTAGCGTCTCGTATGTGACTAAACTTAGTTATTGTGCCAGGATTTCTTTGTATACTGTACTGGGTAATGTGACACAATGATGGGCACAGGTTCTTGACTAACGTTTGTTTGCTGCTGTCATTATAACACGTTTCTGTAATTGTAGCTGTACAGTACAGTTGTTCCTGAATAAATTGATAAAAAATGTAGTTATATCACGTTTACTATCAGATACATTATATGTGCTATATGTGCTAAAATAAACCGATTTACAGGTATGTGTGTGTGTGTGTGTGTGTGTGGCGTTACTTTCTGTTGTGTAGTGTTCTGCCGCATTCTTGTTGACAAGAATATCAACATTCAGCTAATCAAAAGATTGCCACAGATGATAAGAATTTCCTGTTAACGCAACATCATTCTCAAGTTGTACCCAAACAACTATTATCTTTGATTTCAAATTAATAGCATACAACTTCATCATTGAACCCTTTCATTAGTTTTACTAAAAAACCACTGACATTATTTAAAAGTTCAAAATAGCCAAACAATTAAAGTAGTTGACAGGTGTCTGGTAATGTGCAGGGCAGTAAAAACTAAATTATAATTTAACTTTGTTAACAAACTGTCAATAATAAAGCCAAGACAATTGAAAAACAACAAAACAGACAAATATCAGTAAGCATAATAAAAACAATGATTATTGGAACAGCATAACATATCATTGACGTTCGTTACTACCCGAGGGTAGATCGTTACATTGCAGTGGATTCCTCCCCTACAGATGTTGGCTGTTTGTGGCTACTCCCTCTTCGAATTCCCCAGCCTGCGCCTCGTGGTCTAGGTCGGCAACCAGCGCCGCCTAACATAGCGGAGGTCAACTATCAACCCACGCCTACCCCCGCTATATAAGACCTCACCCCGCCGTGACCTACCTCTTTCTACCTACAGCCACCAGCAAGCAACACCTCCTCCTCCGCTCCTGCCTGGGGGCTCCCCCTCTCGCCGACGAATGGCGCACCACAAGCTGCCTGTCCTTCTCTGAGCACCCTCACCAACCAGCTCTCTCTACATTACGCTTGGACTCACGCTGCCACCCCCCAGCACCAAGCTGCATTGTACATCCAATACAATATGTATACAGAGAGCACATTGTGAGTTTCCTTTCTCCATCCCATCCTGAGTGTGAACCAATATCTCATAACCCCACAACATAAACACAAATCACTGGTCTTTCAATTATATCAATATTATTTTTTATGTTATTAATCCTAAGTTCCCCCAACAAAGGTCAAGTTAACAGGTCAAAACCTAAACAAGTCAATAAAAATATGAACATTTATTAACTTACTAGCAGAATCGCGCTCATCTGCTAGGCTACGGTAGGACGCCACCCTCCGGGAGGCTCCACATTGTCTCACTGTTCAGTCCCCAAAATTTCTTCTTCCATCAATAGTTCATTAACGGTGTATGTAAGTTCCACCATGTTTTTCACTACAACGGTACAGCAAAGTATATTTTTTTAGGATTAAACTGTTATTATTTTATTGTCTAATCATTACTACATATAACACCACCCATCATCACTACATATAACATCATTCATCATCACTACATATAACACCATCCATCATCACTACAGATCGGTAAAGTACTTTCCGAGATTCTCGTGCGGACACACAAACAAACAAACACAGAGACATACTTCTTTGTTTTATACAGTCTATATATATATATATATATATATATATATATATATATATATATATATATAGATTCCCATCACCACATAAGCACACAAAATAAAATAAATAACAATAATAATAAGATAAGATGTTTGGAAGTGGCTGAGTAAGGACTGAAGGTCCAACAAGATCACACAAAATCAATATTAAGCAATAACAAATCTCAATAGTCAAATGCCATCTCCCAAAACACCAGAAAGAGGGTATACTCATCTTTAGACAGTTGTGCCTCGACTGACTAAAGTCTACCTCCAAATGCAGTACTGAGGTACCATATCCGGATTGGCCAAAGCTTAAACTTTATCCAAATTACCCTACTGACATTAGTTCCACTATATAACCTATATACTAGGGGTGGCCAGACTTGCTTAACCCAAGAGCCGCATACGATAATCTTCATATGTTCGAGAGCCGCGATACTTGAAGAAACTTTATACACGTTTTTATTGTTACATACTGTACACATGTTATTACAAAATTATATGCAAATATTACTAAGAAATGCCATATGCACTATTATATACTAATGTATGTAGATTTTTAAACTTTTAAATTTAACTAGTTTCAATAATCAGAACGCTCACATATACAATATACCAAATGTTATCAAAATTTTGAGTGATGTTTGTTTTAACGGTGTTGAGTAAGTTTAATACATAATGAACTCAGGAACATCTCAGAAAAATATGCAACTCTACATTTCAGTAACATAAAATAAGATTGCTGAAATAAAAGGTAAAAAAAAAACTATAAAGTATTTTTAATTAAATATGTCTTAAAAAACACTTGGTTAAAACTTGGAGAAAAATATGCAAAAGGAAAACAAATAAACCAATAAAATTAAAGTTATTTTAATCAGACACCACCTTACAAAGTTACAATATTGGCATAACATTATTTATAACGTAAAGAGATATTGCTACAATTACACTAGGCAACAAATAAAAAAAAATCCGTAACATTGTTCAGAGCAGCTTCGTTTTGGTAATTTTGTGGTGCTGATTTCAAATCTGGCAATACAAATTCTCAGGCACGTACAGTTTATTTGTTATACAAAAATATAAATTTTACAAATGCAAAAACTGAAAAATACTATTTGTCCTGTTATTCCTGTTACCTTTTTCCACGTCATCACAGTAAAATTCAATAAAGAATGAAAACAATCATAAGAAGGCACAAAAAGTATTCAATTAGCCACTGTAAGGGCATTTGTTATTTTATTTCATCCTTTTATGTGTTGTATTGACCTCCGATTGTAAACACCAGCACTAGTCCCCCATCATGGCAGGATCCCCTCTACCCCGGCACCTTTCCTCCATACGTCTAATGTCCTGATGAAATCGCTCTCCCTGTTCATCACTAACCGCCCCAGATTCTCAGGAAAAAAGTCCAAGTGCCAGTGTAGGAGGTGGACTTTCATGGACATCCTGCATCCCCAGTTTTTGTAGTGTTTTAAGAGTTCTTCTACAATTTGGCAATAGTTTTCTTACTTCTTGTTTCCAAGAAACCCCTTGACTACATGTGTTCTCTGATTCAATATAAGAGTCTGCTAAGAACCATCCTCTCAAAGGTTTCACACAGGCAGCTGGTTAGTAATATGGGACGAAAAACATCAGGTTGTCCTGGTTTCGGTATTGGTACAACAATACTGCTGGTCCATGAGGTGGGTAGTTGGCCCTTAGCATGACTCATATTGTACAATGCAATAATGGATTGCCCGGCACACATCTTAGTAGTCTAATGATGTTGTAGGTGACTCCGTCATCTCCAGGGGAAGTAGACCTACCCCTGGCGAGGGCGGCGTCAAGCTCCCACTCAGTATATGGAACATCACACTCATCGTGATGTTTGCCCAGCATAAAGTTAATGAGATTACTTCTCTCTACAGACTTCGTTCGCATCAAGGAGTCCCCGAGTCCTAGTTGGTAACATGTCATAGCCAGAGACATGAGCCCACTTTGTTATTAGTTCATTCGATTTTTGCAGTGGGTTTGGATGGGAGACGTGTCAACTGTTTTTACCTCTGATTGTGTTTATATCCTTCAATATGCTCAAATTATAGGTGATAATGTGTGTGTGTGTGTGTGTGTGTGTGTGTGTGTGACAAAACGGGGTCTTCATTTAAAGTGAATCAGTATTAGATCGAGTTGTCTGATGAAATTGTACTGTATATTGTAATATGGATAATTTCCTGCAATTTGTTTTCGTAGAAGATATGAGCGTGTACAGTACATACTCCAGGTTGTCTGCTCTAACGGGTCATTTTATGTGTCAAAGTTGATCTGGGAAAGACTCTTGCCTTGGTAAGGTTACCTAAGGCTCTTATTTTGACCAATCTCCCTACCTAAGGATCATCATCCTCGTTACAGTGTCCAGTTGTGTATTTGTCAGTCTTTTTCCATTGTCCTTAAAAAAAATAAGCCTTTCACCGCCTTATAAAAATAGCATTTGTTAAACTGGTCTCTCACCCACTCTCCTAAAATAAGACTTTATTAAGGTGGCCTTTCTTCCACGGGTCCCCCCCCCCAAAAAAAAATAAAAAAATAAAAAAAATAAATCTTTGCCTATCGCAATCAAGATTCCTGGAACCGTATGTCATTTCCGCTCTGATGTTCATTTTCCTGAAGTGCGCACCTAACACACGCAACCAGCCCGACTCTCCCACTCTCTGCCTGACCCAGCATAATCTCCATCACCAGCCGCCACAACACGTCATGCATAACACAACACAGACCAAGAACAGAGAGTGGGTGGGAGCGGGGCGGGGGAAGGCGAGTTCGTGTTGCTAGAAATAAACGGGGAAGCAGGTGCATGGCAAAACAAAGAGTTTATTGCATCATGTTAAGACGTTTAATGAGAGGCAGGTGAAGCTACCTCAGACGCTATAGTGCTTCTCTGGTGAATTGTGGGAATGTGCACTACAGTGAAATATTTACCTAACTTAACATACCCCTGATAATTTAATATAACCCGATCCATAGAACTTAACCTAAC